TCTCCCTCTCCCTCTATAACGTTAATTTATCCGTTTTCCCGCGAAAATCATTTCATTTTGCCACTCCTCTCTCTCTCTCTCTCTCTCTCTCTCTCTCTCTCTCTCTCTCTCTCTCCTTTTCTTATCTTACATTAAAAAAACTCTCTTTCTCTCTCCCTCTCTATTTTCTCTTAATATCGTAAAAATTCATTAAGTTATTAAAAACATCTAACAAAAAAAATTGAAAAAGAAAGATTCACTTGGAGTCTCCCCAACAATGTATCAAAAATAAATCTACGTTTTTCAGACTCGTTTTCCTCTTTCATTCTATTTTCGATTTTTTTACCATTTTTTTCCTCTGTTCTTCTTTACTCGTGTGCTAATTCAGCGCTTCATCCTTGCGCGATGCAGCAGAAAAGAAGAAGACTCGTATTCCCGTCGCCCATTCGGCGTTAGATATGTGATCTACCTGATCCTCACTTCTTTCGAGCCGTTAAGTTTAGTTTTTACATTCAACAAAATGTCGATTACATTTAATCTCCATTTATATAAGATTCTTGTTTCATCTAAGCTTTAGAACTAGAAACAGGGATAAACATTCAATCGAGTCTACGAGCTTCTATATATCCACCTTTATAAACACGAGTTAAAGTTGATCGAGGTTAAAAATCGAAATAAGATTTCAAGATTTTTCCTTTCAACAAAAGAGACAGAGTTGAAAGAGACATAATATCATGAAATTAATCAGTCCTTGGTTTTTTTTTTTTTTCGGAAAAAGCCGAGAATCTCTAGAGCATGCGCGAACAAATTTTTTCACGGTTTAATTACTAAGTTTAAATTTTAAGATAATTTCTTTTATATATAATCTCGATTTTTACCTTTTCACTGTATTTAGAAAGACAAGGAACTTTATATATAAACTATCGTTAGCGTCAATCAATATTTACGGAAATCATTTTATTATATTAAAGAAAGATTTTCCTCTAAATTTAAAATCTGGAAAAAACAAAGTTATATTTATTATATAAATGATTAAAGTTAGCTAATATCTTTATGGTTTTGAGAACTAATGTTATCGACTCGAAAAATGTAGATTAGTTTACAGTTATTTAGTGATTAACATAAAAAAAAAAAAAAATACGCGACGAAGCAATGCGTGTGTTTTTCTCTCTCGCAAAGTATTTTTTATC